TTTATCTTTGGGAGTCGTGAGTAATTTTATTCATGCTGATTAATTTAGTTATGTGGTGATCAAGTGGTTGAAGAACATCTCAACTTGTATGTTAAGAATGAGGTAAAGAAAATTGCAATTTAGCTTATAACTTGAGCTCTGATAGTTGCTTAGGTTTACTCTTCATTTTCCTTCCCCTGTGAAGCCCTTTGGGCCTAATTTGGTTGTTGTGGATATGACATTGTATGTTATGCAATCAAGACAAAAGTGGTGTGCTATGATCTTAGTTAACTGAACTGCTAGAGAACATAATGATGCATAGCACCAACTAATTTTAGAACTTTTCATGCTTCTTACTAGTTTCTATTGTTGGCCTGGTAATCATGGCGACCTTGTTCTTGCATGAGTTGTCTTATTATCTTTCAACATACACTGTACACGAGGTTAGTTTTTCTTCTTAAAATTCCTTTCAGTAGTTTATTCTTTTTACCTTTTCTTTCTGGACATGTATCATTTTTCTAGTTTAGCCGAGTACGTATTTGGTGGTTCTTAATTGGACTTTGTAATCCGTGGCAGATGGCGGTTGATTCAAAACGTGGAGAAACACTTCCCATCCATATTAATATGACATTCCCCTCTCTTCCTTGTGATGGTTGGACCTTTTGAGAATTGTTTTGGCCTCTCCTTCAGTAATATCGTCTCATTCGTAGTTCTGGAATTCAGAATTAATTTCAATTTTGACATGTTTTTTATTTCTTGTGCTTTTGCAGTTTTAAGCGTGGATGCGATTGATATGTCAGGGAAGCATGAAGTTGATCTCGACACAAATATATGGAAGGTAGGGTGTATTTGTTTCGACGTATCTATCTTATTTCTGGCAGACTTCCTTGTAGTTTCCTAGTATATGCAAACAAAATGGTTGACATTGACAATACATGAGGCCAGTGTTGTTTTTGTAAGCAATAGATTAGAAGCTCTCTCTCTCTCTCTCTCTCTCTCTCTCTGTGTGTGGGCACGCGTGCTAGTGTGTGTTGTGATTTTTGACTTGTGTAGTTGTGAGTATGATAATGAAATTGTTTCTTCAGCTCCGCTTGAATAAGGATGGCCATATCACTGGCACGGAGTATCTGTCAGACCTGGTGGAGAAGGACCATGCTGCTCATGGACACGGTTAGCTCATTTGAGACTTCATTTGAAATTTGTTTGGTAGTTTTATTTTTATTTTTTTATTTTACAATACAAATATATAGCATGTCATTGACAAAGTCAATTGTACTGATCTCTCTAGTATTCAATGTTATGTTGTTTACCAAAGTCAATTGCATTGATCTCGACATTGTTATGTAGTTTACCATAGCATGTTTATTTTATTTTTTTAAGATGCTTGTGAGTTAGCCACCATAGCTAGTAGGTCATGTCGTTGTTGTCGGTTGTAGACACGATTAACTATGCAGATCTTATATTTTGGTAAATTCTGTAAAGCATTTTGGCAGGCATAAAATATTCTTCTAACAGAATTTGGTTAAAATTGTGCTCAGATGACCACAAAGATCATGAGGAGTCTGATCACAAAGTTAAACTCCACAATCTTGATGAAGAAGCCGAAAATATGATTAAGAAGGTGAAGCATGCACTGGCTAATGAAGAAGGTTGTCGGGTATGGACTTATTTCTTTCTAGCTTTCTTTCTTTTTTCTTTTTTCTTTTTTCCCAGCAAGTGTATTATCATGTATCCGCAGATATGGAGGGGAAAGACTTCAATTTGCATGGCCGTGAGATCTATTATTTAACAAGGAAATCTAGAAGTAATTTCTCTTGAATTGTAAAGTAGGAGCACATGTCGTTGGTTTGGTCTTTGGGTCAAGCCAACCATTGAACCAAATTGCTTGGTATAAACCGAACCTTTTTTCTCGGTTCGGTTTTCGGCTTACCGAAGTTCTATCAAACATAAAAGTAAAAAAGAAAAAAACATAGAGAAATAAAAATCTTGTACCAAAAGCAAACTTAATGGAAACAAAAAATTATTAATTGACGTATTATTCTTGTAGATTCATGAAAGGTTTGCTAATCATTTAAACAAATTCGTGAATTTGTATACATCCAACAAACTATGAAGTTGGTAAGATTTGGAATACTATATCTGAACAATTTAGTCAAATATTGAATTATTGGGCTGTTGTGGCGGGTCTATTGAGGGCTCGTCTTCGCCTATTTTTTTTGGGGATACTGTAATGTTGCTTTTTAGTTATGGGAATGGAAAACAAATTAGACTATCAATTTTTTATTTTTATTTTTCCTTTTTTGGCTTTTGCAATTTGGACAAGGACTACTGATTTTGTTTTCAGCATTTAGAAGTAGCCACAACCTACAACCTACGAATATATGCTAATAACGACAGAAAATGAGTAGCCTTATAGAAAACGCACATACATAGACACAAAAAGCAGGTAGTCTGACTTGTTTTTCCATTCTCATAAACCGCAATTAGCATAATGTTGAATCCTTTTACTTCGAAGGAAGTTAGCCCTTACAGACTCGCCACAGCAACTGGGGAATGTGGTCAAAATCACCAACATTAAAATACTGGTATCACAATATGTCGAATGAGTATCCTAAGCATATTGTTCCAACACATCTATGGCTGAAAGACCTCAAAGAAATTTAATGAGCCTTCATAATACTTGGTAAATGTAGTATTTTGTCTTTACCTTAAAGCTTCTTTTTGACAATGGAACATTTTTTAACTTTTGTAATGTAGTAATCAGTCAACAACAGTCGATATTGGAATCCTTATCGTTTTTGCATAAACCACTCTCAAACTTGATAAATTGAGACATCTTCGTAGAAACGTTACTTATGAATTTGTCATCCAACGAGTCTCAAATCAATGGTATTACATCTGGAAAGCATATAAGCCAAATATTACTCATATTATGAAGGACTGCAGAGTGCTTCCTAGCAAAATGGAAACATAACAACAAGCCCAATCTAAACAAATTTGTCTTTGTTCCACTCGTTTCACCCTCTTTTATATGATTTTCATCATCTTTCAAATTCTTTTTCGGGCCAACCATAAATAATCAGATTAAATAATAAAGCTGGTTGCTGCTGCTGAATCAAGCTTAGCTGGGTCATTTCGTATGTAGATATTGGAAGAATTAAAATTTCAACATAATATCAAAATATGCACAATATCAATTACTGGTAAAAGAAAAGATTCAGATTTCAGTGGCGTGTCCATATCACCAAAGATAGAATGTGAGTCATAAAAGCCTCCAAATTTTCCTCCATATTTATGGATTGACTTGTACAAGGCCCATTTGTACTAATCTCGTTTTTCTGGAAGTGTACTCACGACCAACAGTCGTGGCGGCATCCATTCTTTCTCCAACATATAGGAATTACTTCTAGATTTCCTCATAGACTGATCGACTTTACGGCTGCGCAGATTCATGTCTCCCTCCAAGTTGACATACATTCATGTTAATACAGTTGTAGCTGCTTTCCATCTCTTTGATGTTTCATTTAATTGTTGTTGCAGGTGTATGGCCTTTTAGATGTGCAAAGGGTTGCCGGGAACTTTCATATCTCGGTTCATGGATTGAATATTTTTGTGGCTCAAATGGTCAGATATCTAATTAACTCAAAACTTCATTATTTATCCTATATTATTTTATAAAAAGATAATATTTTCTGATCAACAACTTAGAACTTACTCAAACATTTTCTTCATACATTTTCTTAAATAAATCAATTTTATTGTGAAGTCTAGTCATATTTTATGGCATTTATGCGCGCTCATCGACGTTAGATTTCTGAATAAAAAAAAAATTCAATGCGCAAATTAAGAGTTTTGGTGATACTTTTTCTCCCTGGTTTCTTGTATTTCATTTTGATGTATTCATCAAGTAGATTATGTTGTTTGTGCAGTATTATGAATCTGATCTGGGTGTCCTTCAGTAGCATGAAATTCTCATATTCCGCATTAAAGACGTTGTCTTCCCTTGTCTTTATCACTTTTACTTGTACCAAGAACTTCTTTGCTCTGCCCCTCTTTTTTGGTGGTGTAGTCAGATTATTTTCTGCAGTGTTGTCAAATTTTCACCATGTCGGCATAATGTAGCGGTTTTTTGGCCAATCTGCCATTTATGGGCTGCCTCATTGTGGGCTTGCCATGGGGGCCGCCAAGACCATAGCAGTGCGGCTGTCATGGCAGCCATCAATTGAATAGTGGGCATTTTATGCTTTTCTCGGGAATCAGTTAGGGTGGCCCAGTGTCACTTTATTTATCCAAATTTCATGCATAAAATAAATAGAAAAGAACAAAAGTCTAGTAATAAAAGTGACATTGTGTGGATTCTGCCATGCACGTAACGAAAGAGACAAACAGGGTGAAGGGGGAATAACTAGTGCTTCTTTTTAGTTATTGATATGTCATAAGGTGTTATGGTGTTCTACATATATGCATATGTGTGTATATATACGTGTAGATATGGATAAAAATATATAATTTTGGTTCTGGTTTGACTTCATTCATTTTCCGCCACACCATCTGCCTTAGAGGTATGGCGATTTTTTGGCTTTCCACCATCCACCATTGATAACACTGGTTTTCTGCAGCATAAGTGCTAAATTGATCCTACAAGAGTGCCGTGAGTTTGGATAATTTTTTTAGCGTGTTGAATTACTCTCCATTTTCTTTCTAATTTCTATTTTCATTTTTAATCTTTCACGAAATTCAGAAAGTGTTCCAGCTTGAATTTGAGTTCATGCAAACAGAGTTGTTGCCACAGTGTGACAGTTCAGAAAGTTCTGAGATCTTTGGTTTAGTTGGTTTTTACCACCATGAAATCAAGAAAATTTGGAAAGCATTGGCAAACCTCTGGAGCTCAATTTATCTGATTAAAGATACTTAACAACACCAACACGTAGATTGGCAAAAGAGTGACAAATTATTTTTGCTGAAATTTGAGCTGTAAAACTGTAATTCCAGTTTCAGAAATTCTTTGGAAGATTTGAGAAACGAAAACTATATTTGGGTCTTCTCAACACGTCTACTTAAGAGTTATTTTGGAAAAAATTAAAACTTGTTATAGAGGTGAAACCAGTGGAGGAGTGTTTGGTATTGTTTCTTCTCGGAGTATTCAGATTAAATGTATAACCTCTCATGTATCTTTTGACCTAATACTTGTCATATGTTATATTTTACCATTTTGTCGTCTGCAGATTTTTGAGGGCTCTTCTCATGTCAATGTGAGTCATATAATTCACGATTTGTCGTTTGGGCCTAAATATCCTGGGATACATAACCCACTTGATGACACAGTACGAATATTGCATGATTCGAGTGGAACTTTCAAGTATTACATCAAGGTTCGAGTTCTTTGAATCATTTTGAATCTCTGAAGCTTATACCACATTTTCTTTTTCTGATTATATATATTTATCTGGTCTAATATTAACCAGTGCTGTCATTTGAAATTCATGTTCAACTATTCTCTAGATTGTGCCGACTGAATACAAATATATATCGAAGGATGTTTTACCGACAAATCAATTCTCTGTCACTGAGTATTTCTCTCCTATCAATGAGATGGATAGGGCGTGGCCTGGTAAGATTCTATTAATCCTTACCCGATGAAGGTTTTATAACCCTTTTCCACCAATATTTTTTTTCTTAGGAAATAACTTTTTCATTGTCCATGCAGCTGTGTACTTTCTGTATGATTTGTCACCTATTACAGTGACCATTAGAGAAGAACGTCGTAGTTTTCTCCATTTCATCACACGCCTCTGTGCAGTATTGGGTGGTACATTTGCCTTAACAGGTTCGTTTAACCTATTTCCTTTTTTATTGCCTTCCACTGTGAACGAGTTAATATAGTTTCGGCTGTACACATTCACAAAACAAACATTGATCCTTTTCTGCCCCCACCTAAAAAATTGAGAATGAGAAAATTTTGTTTATTTATTTTTTCTTTACCCTTGTTTTAAGAGTTTGCCAACCGTACCAATAATTTGCTTAACCATAGGAACTGACTTAAACTTGTCTGTTTTGTTCTTTCAGTATATAATTGCTGGAATGTAATGAGATTCTGTCTCAAATTTGTTTTGGGTTGCATTTGTTGAAACTGCAAACTTGAAAACAAAATTAAAATGTTTTCTGGTTGGTATATATGGACAGGAATGCTGGATAGATGGATGTACAGGCTTATTGAGGCATTAACAAAACCTAAGGCTAAAAAAAGTATGATGCGGTGATTTTAGGGTTGTAAAACTCCCTTTGCATGCAAATAGCGTGATTCTCAGGAACATGCGGTTTACTCATAGCCCGTGAGAATTTTACTAACTTACACATGAAAAATGGTTGCCCTACTACTTTTTCCTCTTCTCTGCATTTGAGCTTTTGAAAATTTTGATACCATTGTTGTACTCGTATTGGGAACATTTAGTGTGATAATTTAGTGTCTTTGAATTTGTGTTGCAACCTGAGGTTTTTGTGTTCCCAAAACAGATAAGTGAATATCAATTATATGGATTTGAGGGTCTAATTTTGCTACGTGACTAGGAATTTCAGAAAAACAATGCAAAGTACTAGAAATATCATGGAACATTTAGACTTCTGTTGACTAAAACGACTTACAAGTTATAAGTTACAAGGACGAAATGAGGAGAGCTTTTCTTGTTTTCAACCTACTGTCTCTTCTAACGGCTCGTCTAAGTCTCTCCTCGATTTAGTTGCACTTAACTCTGGTTCGCCAGCAGAGTTATATCAATGGTTTGTTAACACTAGTTGTATTTTATTCGTGAGATTAGCAAAGACACATGCTATATTGGTTGGACTCTGATATCAATTTGATGTGTTCTTTCATTTCTCGTCATTTATTATTCCGTATGTATATTTATGTGTACTTAATTTCATTCATTTGTCAAAATACCACCCAACAAGTTTCATGAAGCAAAATCCCATAAAAATTGAAAATAAGAGGCACTAATCACAACAAATTTTAATTAATTAACCATTTAGCCAGATTATACAATGTCACTTTCTGAACATCCACAGATAAGTGGAGAGCGCTTTTACCATGAATACCACAACTGCATTTGTTATGGCTAAAAATCACCACTACCATTCATCCCTGAATAACCACCGGATGATCATCAAACTTCTTACCATCCAAACCGAACTCCAAATACATACCCCAAAATCGCTCATGACCAGAAAATGCCATTCAAATTGTGTAAAAAGATCGTGTCTACACATTTTCGCCGTTGGGCCCTTGTGATACACTGTGGGCCCCCAAAGGCTGCAGGGCCCGATTATTATTAAGACCACTTTGTGGGCCCCGGTGATGGTTCCTTTGCTCGTGCCTATTATGTTGCCCAGTGACAGTGTTGATTTGTGGATTACGGGTGGTCCGCCATCTAAGGTATTCGACTAGAAGTGAATTAGTGCTGATTGCAATTCCAAAACCGGTGAAAGAAGAAAGCAGCACGGATAGGACTGCATTCACATTCAGCTGCATTTTTTTTTTCCAGCAAATTCACGATAAGAATATCATCACAAGAAGGCAAAATTTACAAAGACAACTCTGAAAATGTGATAAAAGCACCACCCTTGAAGTTTAATTTGATATTTAATTTGTTTCAGCATTACATAATGCAAAGCTACTCGTAGTTTTGAGAATAGAAACGAGTTTCAGTAGAATTAGGTTATGAGTTTTGAGTATGGTTACTGTAATTATACCTAAAGGACAGTGTAGATAAGATGGAGCCTAAATTCCAAGACAATGAAAACAAATGTGAAATGAAAAGTATAGACTGAGGAATAAAAATAAAGCAGAAGCATCTCTTACAACTGCATAAAATATGTGAGCGAACAAAATCACTATTGCGAACTGGAAAGAAGCATAGGCCCATATGTAGCTCTTGCTCACTGCAAATCATCAAAATAACACCATTCTAATGATAAGATTAGCTCCGAAAAACAATAAACAAAAGGATATTAGTAGGTATTTGCCATTGATGGACACGAATTTTGTAGAAATAATGAAATAAAACTAACTACATACAAATAATTAGAATGGCTTACAATGAGTTTTTGTCATTTTCACATGAGAAACAAGCATTTGGCTCAGAAGCTTGATTAGAATAAAAGCCACTCGTAAAAATGAATACAGAAATTCACAAACAATGCATTTAAGAAAAAAAATTGAATTTTACAATATAAAATTATAAATATTTTAAGGTACCTAGAATTATGTGAAATATACAAAACAAAGTATAGCAATTAACTGAAAAATTAGTATAATAATTAGAGTTTAGAAAAGAATTCTACAAGCTACATAAATATGTTTGTTGTATCTTTTAGTAAAAAAATGATTTTTTCAACAATACAAATACCAATATTTTTCAAAATACTATTTTGGTAGGTATACATAATATTTTTTCAGAAACTCGATGAAGGCCCTAGTTAGCTCCATTCCTGGCCACGCATAAGAGACCCTCGAGTGAAATAGTGATTATAAAGTTAATGAGCAGAAGATGGTTGAAGTTTACCCATTGTGGAAGCTATCATGGATGAAAGAAGACCTAAGACACAAGCAAAAGGCAAAGAGATTGCAAGAGCTCGAGGTCCCATGTCAGACACCTGTCATGAACTAATGCTCATAAGGGATAAAATCTAAAGAATGGTGTGCTAAACAACAAGCAAGATGTTGAGTAAAAATAAAGCTTTTTCCAACAAATAACTTATCGACAAAATGCTAAATTAATAATGCAATATACGGTTACCAGAAGTTGCTCCAGAAAGCAGAAATAAGCAAGCATGCTGACCATGACTAGAACAGGCACGTCCTGCCAGACCCTGTCAAGAATTAGAAATTTTATAATCAAGATATTCATAAATTTAGTAATTTATAACAATTAATTTTTTCAATCTTTTCCCTGCATGTATCTTTTCCTACATTTCCTTCTCATCTGGTGGTACATACTGAAATTTGGAAAATTCGCAGACTTAGCACATTTCATCATCATCTAGACCATATTTTCCATAGGAAAAGAACAAAGACTATCCAAGGACAAAATAAGAGCATTGCTCAACCTATATGAGGCTAATGAACACACATGCATGAAAATTAGGGTTATCTTATGTTGAATAGGTTTGTCGGATTTAGGCATGGACAAGCTTCGCCTATTAAAATTATTTCCTTTTCAATATAATTAAAATTCTTCTTTTCTTAAATCCTTAATTCTATCATATATAAATTTTTTATTTTTTATAGAAAAAAATAATATAATGCTTGCGCTCTCAACACCAATGTAGCAACAAATCACCAACAAATACTTAGATGAACCCTAACAATTGNAAAAAAAAAAAAAACAATTATTAACATCAATAAGAGAACTTGCCTGTAACGAGTCACTTCCCTCTGCTGTGATCCAGCAGACGGTCTTCGAACCACATTAGGAGGATTTTGTAATTTCAGTAATGTTACCGGAAGATTACGAACATCCTGCTTGCATACATCACATGTCCGATTGCCTTTTATGCTAAACCACTTGACGGCACATTCTTTGTGAGCAAGTGCAAGCTCTCCTTTACAGCTGCACTCCATCTTTAGAGTCTCACCACCTTCTCCTAGCTCAATGAAACATATTCTGCAAACAGCTTCTTCTTCTGGAATGTCTTGCCCAGCATCACCTAATGTGTGTGTGTGTGTGTGTGTGTGTCAATGTGACTACAGTTTTCAATAAATTATGAGAATGAATCAAGTTTGGCTTATTTTTAATACTTAGAAATACGAGGGATGTAATTGTAATAACATTTGGTGACACCATCAATCTCAGTCAGCTCAATTAATGGCAGGTGTAAGATATAATATAGTGCGAGTATAAACCTCAAGGGTCGTGATATCAGTAATTTTAAGTACATTGGGTTTTCTGCTTTAATTTTCAAGTTACAAGTTGCATACTACCATATAATGCACACAAATACACGAGAAATTAAAATATTATAATAATGCATTTCATTTCTTGTCAAGCTCGACTAGATAAATCTGAAACGATTCAGGTTAGAGTGGTTATGTCGTGAACTTTTTTCTCTCAACCGGACCACAATCAAAATTTATAGGCCCACCTCAAATCATACTATAATCTTCCAGTTCCCAAATTAAAATGTATGATTGTTCATGAGAAGCATAATGTAATGGAAGATCATGCATGCAAGCTTTCTACCATGTCCTGAATCAATATATACCTGCTTCGGTATCAGGAGATATATCCGTGGAGGCATTTTCCACCATCACAGTTGATCGATGGTTTGATGATATTACCCGGATTAATCCTCCAGATGATTCTGTCCGCCTCAAGCTTTGTGTTTTAATGTTAACTGGAACTGAAAACGAACGTGTCATAAATTGCTTAACTTCAGTTTGCTGCAGAAAAATAATGTTCAGTTAGAAAGGCCTTTCCAAAAAAAAGAAAAAAAGAAAAAAACAAGAGATAAGCAAAATGAATCTTTTTTATATATGTAAGTGGGGGTTTATCTTCAAAGGCTACCCTGAAGTTTCATTAAGCTATCTTTCTTCAGACTTACAAATAGCATAGGGGGCTGATCCGTAAATTTGAAAGATAACCAGGTCAAATTGTAATATGCCTAGACTTGTGGGGCAGTTCATGTAAGCATCGCTTATAAGTACTCTGAACACAAACTTACAGATATTTTAGATTGTTCATCAACATGATTTTCTTGTGAAAACTTAGGGTCAGCATTTGCCATTGGTGTCACGGGCAAAGAATGTGCCGATTTTGTGGATGCCGAGAATAAAATTTTATTCAACGAAAATGACTTTGAAGTTGAGGGCTTGTCCGAAAGGGGCGTTTCCGGTATTATCAGCACCGTTCTTTCGGCTTCTTGTGACAGTAAGTTTTTACCTCTTGAGCTCTTTTGCGGGAGAATATTCTTAACGGTCGACTTCAACTTTGTCGAATTTGGTCTAGGTGGCAATCCAGCTCTAGTGGAATTCGGGCTCGGGACAACATCTATCCTTGTAAAATCGGAAAATGCCCTCTCAAGAGAACGTTTAGGTATTTCCAGGGATGAGAGGTTTGGTCGTCTGGACTGCATTAAGGCAGCTTCCTCTCTCTCATATTTCTGGTGACATTTTCCATGTTTGATAATTATTAATAAACTGATGTAAAAAAATTTAAAACTGAGACACTTCATGCCAGATGTGCTTTAATATAAACAAATTTATAAATTTATTATAGTTTATGCCAGAAATTGTAGTGTTGCAAATAGAAGCTAAAAGTTGAACAGGTTANAAAAAAAAAAAAAAACACGCTTTGTGTGCTGAAATCAATCCAGAAGTAGATTAATGTAAAGGATATGTCCCTCTACATTTGCTTTTAGATTCTGAATTAAGTTAGCAGGAGAAAAACACAGAAGTGGGCATTCAGAAACACAAACAACGATATTTTATAGAGACGAAAGCTGACAATAACTTTTTTTAAGGGAGTACAAACATCCCCCCAAAATAATGTGATTCAAGTAATGGAAATAGAGAGCACAAACAGAAATCATGTAGTCTCTTACTAAATTAAGTGGCATACATTCTGCAAATCATACAACTCAACCAAAAGAAATGGATTTTGACAATCACTTATTATTTGTTAATTATATATTTTGAAAAATTGAGTCCTACAAATATGAGAATGAGAAAACCTTGCATTAGTTATGGAATGACTAATCCCATGGAGATGAGTTTTGCAATTCCCATTAAAATGGTCATTCCTTGCAAAGAAATATACCAATCATGCCATTAGAGTTTTACAACAGGTTCCAATTATCCACAACATGAAAGCTCATACGTAGGATTAGCATGATTAAGCAACTTCACAGTCAAACCAAAATCCAAGACCTTCTACCTTTTTTCACCTACAGTTTCATATGAATGGTAGAAGGGTAATCCACCTGCCTCGTTGTCTTTATATCTTAACTGAGCTATGGTAAGTAAAATGTAAACCAATATCTACATAGCTAATCGGAATATTTCATTTCATTTTATTTTATATTTTATTATTATTATTATTATTATTATTATTATTATTATTATTATTATTATTATTATTGAGTTTATGCAATACTCTATCAATCAAGACTACACATCTGGATTTGTTTAAGGCACGCAATCTCTACCTTGGTAAAATTAATAAACCAGATTAAATTCATAAAAACTATCAGGAAAAGAAGTAAATTCATAAAAACCAGATTAAAATAAACCAATTTTCAAGAATTCTACATGTCTGCAATATCAATAATTCCCTAACCAGGTTATAAGTAATCGTCCAAATTCCCCAAGGTTTTTGCAACCTAGAAACCCATTAAGATAAGCAAAGGAAAATAACTAAACTTTTACAGTTTACTAATAAACTCCTTGCAGCTCACAAAAACAAAACACAATGTCAGCAACTTAGAACACAACACTCCCAGCAATTTCAGCACAAAAAAAAAAAAAAAAAGAGCGAGGATGTTAACCGGGTCATATTGAGCCTGAATATTTCGTTCGTCTTCACGAGCAGATTGATCCGCTGTGCTGACGTGGCCACTCTCCGCCATTACTGTATCGAAGTCCAACAAAAAAGGAAAAAATAAAATCAAATTACAGAAATCGAAACAGAGACGGATGCCCTTTTGATATACACTAGGATTTTCAACATTTGAGCTGCTCAGTTGGACTTTGAAAAGAAAAGGAGTCAACAAAATTCTGTTTGTGGAGTGTAATTCAATCAAGGAAAAGGGTGGGGACAGTCAACTTTGGAAGATATGATAGAAAACATATTAAACATGGAAAAAGAGAAAGCTTCTGTATTCTACTTTGTTTAATTTATTTCCTTATTAGATCACATTTCAAGATGCAATTTCTATTCTCTTACTTGTAACATTTTTCTTAAAAATTTGGTGAAACTACCCACCAATCTTAAATTGTGCTGCTTGACAGGTGGATTCTTTGTTTTGCTTTGTTTTTTTATACATCTCTTTTTTTTAATTAAAGTTGTTTTTGACATCTTTTTCTATTTATTTTTTAATTAAAGTTGTTTTTACTTTGCAATATACTATAAGTTTGGTTAGCGTTTTTTATAATACCGTGATTGCAATTATCGAGATTTTTATCGTCAAATCTATACATACATGCCTAAACAAATATGTATTGACCTAGTTATTGACTATAATTCGAGTAAGTGGGTAGATTTTGTCACAAAAAATTATATTTTTAGATGAAAAAATATTTTTTATAGAAGAAAATACCATATTTTGTAAATATGTTAAACAATTATGTGAATGTTTTCTGACATTATTTCATTTTAAAAGTATGAATCTAATAAAGAAAAATATGGGGGTCTGTTTTATTAGGTGGAATGATATGAAGTACCATGTTTTTTCCTTTGTGAAGGGTTTTAAATATTGTTATTTTTCTGATTATTCAACTTTTTGAATAATTTTGGAAGCCACCCAAACAATTTCAATGTGGGAAGTACCCACATCACGACGCATGTATGAGAGATTCTATAGGTTTGGTTTATGCTTTCATAAAATCCCCCTATATATAATATAATAACCCTATATATAATTCCCAAATGTATTGAGCGCAGACTCGCATGTTTCGGGATCTTAACTGTAAAAAATAATTAAGTTTGAATTACCATAAATATGTTGATTTATTTATGATCGTTTTAAATGTATTAATTGTATTTTAATTTCATTCTTATTATAACCATTGAATTGTAAAAAATAATTAAGTTTGAATTACCATAAATATGTTGATTTATTTATGATCGTTTTAAATGTATTAATTGTATTTTAATTTCATTCTTATTATAACCATTGAATTGTAAATATATTTTAGAAGTTGATAACTTTTGTATTTTTTATCGGTTTTATATATAAAATATATCAAATTAATCATCTTTTGATGAGTTTCGATTGACATCCATATTGTATATATATAATAAATAAATTATATTTATCTTTATAATAATAATAAAATTATTTATTAAAATTAATTAGAAAAATAAAATTATTTCTCAACTAAATTTATGTTTAATGTAGTTATATGTTATGAGTTAGAAAAATTATTATAATATAACAAAGGTAAGTCGCACAAGTAACAAGTGTCATAATAAAATATATAATAATATATATTTTTTTATAAAAAGTATTTAAATTTTCAACCACGTTTTCTCATTAATTTTAAAGTTTTAAGCAAAAAAAAATTAGCAAGCACCCGTGTAGTACACGGGTATTGTACTAGTGTTTTAATATTGACTTTTAGTTATGTACATGACGTGGGCCTACCTATTTCATGTAAAATTTAACAATAAACCTCAGAGCATCTCCAATGGGTTGTTAATTGTAGAAATATGGAAGAAGTTCAATAAAAAAATGTCTCCAATCGTGAATGTCTAGATTCTATTCATAATGACATGGCAAGAGAGAGGAATAAAATCAAGAACTCCTTCTACGTGTAGAAATCATGTTAGACATGATGATCCATATTTTCTAAGTTGAATAAATAAACCACTGGAGACTTATGTATTTGAACATCTATTCCTTATACGTAGATGGAAGACCATCTATTTAATTACCACATACACTACAATTCATGCTTGCCATTGGAGATGCTCCCACAAACCTTATTTTTTATGGGTCCCACATGTTTCCTACTTTTTTTTATTAATTTTATGCTCTTATATTTTTATTAGGGCAGCTTCTCCTAAAATTCCCAACTCTCTTTTTAACTCCCTCCTCAGTCCCTAGGTGTCTTTTTCTTCCTTTGAACTTCCTACCCCCATAATCATGTTCCACTTAAATCCCTAGTGTTAAATTAAATAAAAAGAAAACAAGTTATGACATCATCTCCACTACAAGATAATATTACATATTATTTTATTATACATTTTCCTTTTCTTATACCTACATTTTCCTTTTTCTTTTATTTTATTTTGTTCAAGCTTCTTCCCCACACATCTCTCCTCTCTCCCGTCCCCCTCCATTCTCATCGGTGATTTCTCTTCTCTCTCTCTCTCTTTTTTTTTTTGCAGGTCTGTTTCTCCAGCGACCCAAATACGGCGAGAAGAACTCCGGCAACAACAAATCCGGCCAAACAAGTGATTCCGACGTCAAATTTGTGCGGCCAAAAATTTATTTTTTCCGGCAACATTCGTGCTTTTTCCGGCCAAAATTTGAAGTAGTAATAATATATGTATTATATGAGCATTTTGGAGTCCAAAAATCATGTTTAATTCGTATATATTTGGTTAATTTGTTAAGGATTGAATTTTGAAAATTGTTGTTCATATTTACCCTAAATCAATTAAATTGATCAAAATCTCTTATTTCTTGTTTATGTATACGAAATTGATGCCATTGTTAGGTTATGTAATGTGTTATTCAACCTAAAACAAGAAAATAAGGTGGGAATGATCACTGTACCACTATTATTGATTAATGTACCTCTGTTTGTATGTGTATAGTACCACTTTAATACTGTCTTGTACCATATTTTCCTGGAAAATGTGAAGTTTTTTTTATTTATCCAATTATTGTTATATATATGGAAGGGCACAAAGTGATATACTAGGGAGTTGTACGTACAAGAATGAATTGTTTGTGTTCTCTATGCACATTGGATCAACGCTTGACGAAGTGTACACTCTGATATCAAAGAGGTGGCCGAACGTTAATTTCGAATCCGTCGTGCTATGCTATATTGCGCCAAAAGAAAAAAAGAGAGTTAGTTTGTTGAATGATGAGGATGTGAAGAACATGATTCGGTTACATGTTTGTCGGAAAGTAAATATTGTAGAGATAATTTCCATTGACAGAAATGAAAGACCAGATGATGGAGTTCAATCCTTCCCGATGAACATGAGCAGGTAATGTTGCTTTCAAAATATTAATGAATTTATTATTGAAATATGGTATAGTCGTATCATATCCTAGTTCATTAATTTTTAACTAGTTCCATTATTTATAAATCTTTGTATTATTTTGTCATGAACGCAGGGAAAACGTACAGTCTGATGATTTTCTCGGAGGGAGAACATGAGTTGTTGCAAGATAAATCAATCGATTCTTGGAGATTCTTAAATTATTTTGTTTATATTTATATTAAATTTATAACTAATTATTCATAATAAAGCAGGTTTATATTTTTATTATTCTGTTGATATATGTTTATATTTTGTTCATATAAATTATACTTTGTTCATATTATATAGTAAGAAGCAGCCATCAATTTTATATGTTTATATAAATTATATTCAGAATTTATTCATTATTTATATAAATTCTGTTTATATTCTGTGAATAATTATTATTCTAGGTTTTTTTTGTAGGTGTTGAGGAAATACTCACTTTTTAATAAGAAACATTGGTCCTCGGTTTTCATGAAAGTTGCGCATAAGAATTAAATTTGCTCATAAATAATTGCGATCGCCTAGTGGCTTGATGTAGAGGAGGCGGTGTTTTAGGGTGTAGACTTGTCCAGACCCGGGTTCGTGTCCCCCTCTGTGCGAACCTTCCACCATTTTTTTGCACCACGTAGAAGAAGATGCGATATTATTTTGGATAAATCAGGTACTAATTAATTTTAGTATGAGATAAAAAAAATAGTGGAAGGTTCGCGCAGAGGGGGAACTCGAACCCGGGTATGGGAAAGTCCGGACCCTCAAAAACAGCCTCCTCTACCATCAAGCCGCTAGGAAATCGCAATTATTTATGAGTAAATTTAATTCTTATCCTTAAGGCTTATAAAAATTATATTGTACTTCTTTACTCAATAAACTCAACTAAAAATATTTAAATCTCATATAAACTAATGTGAGAGTGATTATTGGTAGTATAAACATGATTTGCGACCAAAACTCGGTGATTTTATATGTTCGTTAGAAGTGGTACTAAGGAGCCAATATCAGGTACTAAAACACCACAAAGTGGTACTGTCTTTCTGTAGGTCCGGTACTACTTTTTGTAAATGTGGAAAAAAATTGAAATAATCCATTTTGGTTGACCAAAAGTAAGTACTAATTGATCAATAACAAGTACTTCGTAGAAGAAGAAGCAGTATTATTTCCGTCAAAACTGGCACCATTCAATGAGCTGAAGTGTATTAAGTAGTGTTTTTCCATTAGTGTGTTGAATTCGTGACCAATTTGCGATTAAACTTAATTAACCAAATATCAAATCTCATAGAAACTAATGTGAGTGATTATGGGTCATATAAACATCATTTGCGACCGAAATTCGGTCTTCTTATGTGTTCATTAAAAGTGGTACTTGGGACACGATATCTGGTACTAACACGCCATAAAGTGGTACTGTCTTACACTATGACTGGTACTACTTTTTGTAAATGTTGACCACAATTGAAATAATCAATTTTTCTTCACAAAAGTAGGTACTAATCGATCAAAAGCAGGTACCACGTAGAAGACGATGCGGTACTATTTTGGCTAAAACAAGTACTATTTTCAGAATCGCGATTTCTCTAATCCTTCATATCTACCATGACACGTGGATCGTTCACACGTGATTTGGGTGAAAAAAAATGGAAGTGAAAATATATATGTAGAATTTGGAGTAGTCATGTATTATGATTTCTATGAGATGAAGTGTGTCATTCAATGAAATGAAGTCTAGTAGTAGTGTTTTCTCATTAGTGTATGAATTAATGACCAATTTGTGATTAAACTCAATCAAGAACATTTAAAATCTTATATAAACTAATGTCAGAGTGATTATGGGTCGTATAAACATCATTTGCAATCGAAATTCGATCTTCGTATGTGTTTATTACAAGTGGTACTACAGAGACAATATCTGGTACTAATACGCCATAAAGTGGTACTGTCGTTCACTATGACTGGTACTACTTTTTTTAAATGTTGACCACAATTGAAATAATCAATTTTTCTTCACAAAAGTAGGTACTAATCGATCAAAAGCAGGTACCACGTAGAAGAAGATGCGGTACTATTTTGCCCAAAACTGGTACTATTTTCAGATTCGCAATTTTACTAATCCTTCATGTCTACCATGACACGTGGATCGTTCACACGTGATTTGGATGAAAAAAAGTGGAAGTGAATACATATAGATAGAATTTGGAGTAATCATGTATAATAATTTCTATGAGATGAAGTGTGTCATTCAATGAAATGAAGTCTAGTAGTAGTGTTATCTCATTAGTGTATCGAGTTCATGACCAATTTGTAACTAAACTAAAAAAAAACATTTAAAATCTTATATAAACTAATGTCAGAGTGATTATGGGTCGTATAAACATCATTTGCGACTGAAATTTGGTCTTCTTATGTGTTTATTACAAGTGGTACTAGAGAGACGATATCTGGTACTAACACGCCATAAAGTGGTACTGTCTTACACTATGACTGGTACTACTTTTTGTAAATGTTGACCATAATTGAAATAATCAATTTTTCTTCCAAAAGTAGGTACTAATCGATCAAAAGCAGGTACCACGTATAAGACGATGCGGCACTATGTTGGCTAAAACAAGTACTATTTTCAGAATCGCGATTTCTCTAATCCTTCATATCTACCATGACACGTGGATCGTTCACACGTGATTTGGATGAAAAAAAGTGGAAGTGAAAATAGATATGTAGAATTTGGAGTAGTCATGTATGATGATTTCTATGAGATGAAGTGTGTCATTCAATTAAATGAAGTCTAGTAGTAGTGTTTTCTCATTAGTGTATGAATTAATGACCAATTTGTGATTAAACTCAATCGAGAACATTTAAAATCTTATATAAACTAATGTCAGAGTGATTATGGGTCGTATAAACATTATTTGCGACCGAAATTCGGTCTTCTTATGTGTTTATTACAAGTGGTACTACAAAGACGATATCTGGTACTAATACGCCATAAAGTGGTACTATCTAACACTATGACTGGTACTATTTTTTGTAAATGTTGACCACAATTGAAATAATCAATTTTTCTTCACGAAAGTAGGTACTAATCGATCAAAAGCAGGTACCACGTAGAAGAAGATGCGGTACTATTTTGCCCAAAACTGGTACTAATTTCAGATTCGCGATTTCTCTAATCCTTCATGTCTACCATGACACGTGGATCGTTCACACGTGATTTGGATGAAAAAAAGTGGAAGTGAAAACATATAGATAGAATTTGGAGTAGTCATGTATAATGATTTCTATGAGATGAAGTGTGTCATTCAATGAGATGAAGTCTAGTAGTAGTGTTTTCTCATTAGTGTATCGAGTTCATGACCAATTTGTGATTAAGCTCAACAAAAAACATTTAAAATATTATATAAACTAATGTCAGAGTGATTATGGGTCGTATAAACATCATTTGCGTCCGAAATTCGGTCTTCTTATGTGTTTATTACAAGTGGTACTAGACAGACGATATATGGTACTAATACGCCATAAAGTGGTATTGTCTTACACTATGACTGGTACTACTTTTTGTAAATGTTGACCATAATTGAAATAATCCATTTTTCTTCCAAAAGTAGGTACTAATCGATCAAAAGCAAGTACCATATAGAAGAAGATGCAGTACTATTTTGCCCAAAACTGGTACTATTTTCAGATTCGCGATTTCTCTAATCCATCATGTCTACCATGACATGTGGATCGTTCACACGTGATTTGGATGAAAAAAAGTGGAAGTGAAAACATATAGGTAGAATTTGGAGTAGTCATGTATAATAATTTCTATGAGATGAAGTGTGTCATTCAATGAAATGAAGTCTAGTAGTAGTGTTTTCTCATTAGTGTATCGAGTTCATGACCAATTTGTGATTAAACTCAACAAAAAACATTTAAAATCTTATATTAACTAATGTTAGAGTGATTATGGGTCGTATAAACATCATTTGCGACCGGAATTCGGTATTTTTATGTGTTTATTACAAGTGGTACTAGAGAGACGATATCTGGTACTAATACGCCGTAAAGTAGTACTGTCTTACACTATGACTGATACTACTTTTTGTAAATGTTGACCACAATTGAAATAATCAAATTTTCTTCACAAAAGTAGGTATTAATCGATCAAAAGCAGGTACCACGTAGAAGAAGATGCGGTACTATTTTGCCCAAAACTGGTACTATTTTCAGAATTGTGATTTCTCTAATCCTTCATGTCTACCATGACACGTGGGTCGTTCACACGTGATTTGGATGAATAAAAGTGGAAGTGAAAACATATAGGTAGAATTTGGAGTAGTCATGTATAATGATTTCTATGAGATGAAGTGTGTCATTCAATGAAATGAAGTTTATTAGCAGTGTTTTCTCATTAGTGTATCGAGTTCATGATCAATTTGCGATTAAACTCAATAAAAAACATTTAAAATTTTATATAAACTAATGTGAGAGTGATTATGGGTCGTATTAACATGATTTGCGACCGAAATTCGGTCTTCATATGTGTTCATTACAAGTGGTACTAGAGAGACGATATCTGGTACTAATACGCCATAAAGTGGTACTGTCTTACACTATGACTGGTACTTCTTTTTGTAAATGTTGACCACAATTGAAATAGTCAATTTTTCTTCACAAAAGTAGGTACTAATCGATCAAAAACAGGTACCTCGTAGAAGAAGATGCGGTACTATTTTGCCCAAAACTGATATAGTTTTAATGAGATGAAGTGTTGGTAGTGTTTTTTCATTAGTGTGTCGAGTTCGTGACTAGTCTGCAATTAAACTTAATCAAAAACATTATAAATCTCATAAAAACTAGTGTGAGAGTGATTATTTGTCATGTAAACATCATTTGAGAATTAAATTCGGCGTTTTATGTATTCGTTAGCAGTGGTACTGATGAGCTAATATCTGGTACTATAACAATACAAAATTGGTACTAGTGTGAAGAAACTAGGTACTACTATGAATAGAAACTGGTATACAGTTTAAAAACACATCCTTAAATGAGTATTAGCTACTAGAAAATGAGTACTTTTACACCAAAAATGCGGTACTAATATTAAGAAAACAGGTATCATTAGGAATCAAATAAAAAAAATCCAAAACATCCATTCAAACTACTTAGTCCACAAACCATCATCCATAAAATTACACAGCAGAAATGCTCACAAATACAATTCATAACAACTTGAGAGAATAGACCATGAAAGTGTTATTAGATCGAGACATCAAAATGGCAAGTCTGAAGTATCTCAAGTTTCACACAAAGGAGGAAGAATCTTGGTAAGCAAATATTATTTACAGCAGTAATACTCATTGTGAATACACACACATATCTGGAAAAAAAAAAAAAAAATCAACCTTTAATTTCCTCCATATTAGACTGCAAATGCACCCTATTACACTCCAACATTCTGGAAACTTCCTTTCCAGCATCATAAGCTACCCTAAAATGATCTTCAATGTCCTTGAAAGCCTCCAAAAGCTCCCGCCCTCTAGCCGGCGTGGCGATCACATTCAAAACTTCGTTTTGCCTTTCCTCAGCCCGGTGCATTTTAGCACCGCCCACTTCACTCTCCACAACTTCAGCTCCATTCCTTCTATTTCTCCAAATCACTCCTCTTGCTCTCAACTGCACATTCTCGCTCATCTTCCAGCTCCAGTATCCCTTCTTCCCTCACGGCTCTCAAATCCTCCTCTGAAATATTTTTATTAATATTATTATAAATATTTATCATCTCCGGCGCCGCCATTGCCACATTTTTGAAAGGGTTGTAAAAATCCCACTCGAAATCCCTCTGTGGTGAGGCCATTGTGTTGCTCCGAGGCATGTCCATGTAGAAATACCCACAAATCTTCTCTTTTTCTTCATTTTCTTCTTCTTCGTCATTTTTTTTTTATTTCTATTTTCACTTTTTTCGAGGGGCCTGTGTTCTTGAGAGGCAGAGCTTATAGAAGAACTGCATGAGTCGCAAGGTACGGCCTTTTTGCTGGGCTCAAATGGGTTTTTCTTGAGGAATAAAGGGTTTGAGATGACTGTGTTTTTCTCCGGCGCCGATGAGATTGTGATGTACAACAGCGGAGGAGAATGGTGGGCCACAAAAAGGTTTATGGTCGCCGAGACTCCATAAAGAGACTGAAAATACTTGTAATGTGCATCTGCAAGAGCATACCTTCTCTCAACGGCTCGTTTGATTTGGCGCTTTCTCTCTCTACAGATGGACACAACTTCCTCTTGGAAGAAAAATTCAATTACAAATTATTGTTCACGCAATGTGAGCAAGTTCAAGTGGAAAAGCAAAACGAACTAGATATTCCCATCATGCTTCAAAAAGTATATATATGTTGGAACTCTTAAGAATTTCAAAATTAATTTATAGCAATCAATATTTTTCATAAGCAAAATGAATATCCAGTTCGTTTTGCTTTTCCACTGGAACTTGCTTACAGTCGCATTGCGTGAAGCCATGAACCATGATTTGTAATTGAACTTTCTTCCGAATAGTTATTTTCGAATTGAAATTGAATCTTACAAAAATTAAATCCAAAAACTATCTCTATGTTGGGACCTTTAAGAATTTCAAAATTAATTTACAATAACAATAGCGACAACAATTGATCAAAAAAACATACCAAAATCAATAAAACTCAAATAAATCAATAAAACCCTAGACATGCAATTAGCCTAATTTATCAATAAAATTCGTAATTGGTGAAATAAAACTCAAATTCAAAGTGCATTAGCATCAACCAAATACCTAATTTTGAAAAATATCGAATTCAATAAAAAAAATCAAAATTTTGAAAAAAATCCCCAAATTCCGAATTGAAGAAAAAAAATCAAATTTTTGGAAAAAAATCTCCAAAATCTTACCTTGCTTACTGTGGAAGATGATTTGTCGGATGTGGAACAGCGAGGAGGACGGTCTTTCGAGCCTGCCATGGAATTTTCCCACAGAATTGGCCGGCGATTTTCAGAGAGAGAGAGAGAGAAACTATCAACGAACGGAATTTTCAGAGAGAGAGAGAGAGACAAACGGAGAGAGATGGAATTTTTTCAAAGAGAGAGCGACGGTCTGCGACAAAAATTTGAGCGAGAAAGCGACGGTCGACGACGTAAATTTGAGAGAGAGGAGAGCTTCAATTCAATTTTTTATGAAAATAAGGCAAAATAAAAGAATAATAATAAGAGTAGTATATAAATGTGAAGTGATTTGGAAAGAGAAATTAGCTTTAAGGAGTGATAAGGAAGTTTAAAAGTGATGGGGATTTGAAATGTGAGTTAGGGATTTATAAGGAATTACCCGTTTTTATTAATATTATAAAACTAACTCTACTTTTTATTTTTATTCAATCTGAATATTTTATATAATTATCATAAATACATATAAAAATAATATAATTATATTGCATTATTTATAATTATAGATTGTTAATTAAAATAAAACAGAAATTAAGTTAGTATCTTAAAAAATGGTTTAATAAATATAAGAACGAGTGGAAAAGAAATGAATTAAAACCAATAAATATAAAATGGATTCAAGCCTTTATATTTACAATTATTAAACAAATGTAAGAAAAAGAAATGAAGACACAACCAAAAAACATTAAAATGCAAAAAGAAAAAAAAAAAAACAATTTGCCAAACTTTTTGGCAGGTGTGGGCCATCACACACCACACTCTTGCAACAAGGCGTGTGTCTCATCATGCACCACACTCTTGAACCGTCTATCACATGCGCGTTCAAGGCAATATTGGTTCAATATTTTTTTATTTTATTTATCATGTTTATGAAAGGTTTGTAAATTCAAACATGTGAGCCTCTTCGTAAACCTTAAACCTCCTTCACATAATGGAAAAACTGGGAGGTTTAATTGTATTTAATAAACCTCATTCAAATGCTCTATTAAAAATGCTCTGACAAGAGTTTGACTGTAGTGTCCCGTTTGAGTATTGGGTTTTTCGAATATTATTATATTAGCATTATCATTATTATTTGGATTAATTGCTTAAGTGAGTATATTGCTTGATTTATATATATATATTATTATTGTGCTTAAAATATATTATTATGTGGATAATATAATTATGCAAGTCGTAAGATTTTATTTTATCGTTCGTCGTTCGAATTTTCAGTTTAATCGCATAAACCGAACCTCTTTCGTTTTAATTCGTTTTCAATCCGTATCGCCCCAGTTGAGTAATTAATTTGGCCCAATTTGATTAATTAAATTCCAGTCCAAAATGGTTTAATTCCCTAGCCCAAATTGAGTCATGACTGGCCTATCTGGAGATAAATATGTTGAGCCCATATTATTGATCATGTGCGAATTCACGAGCGGCATATCTTCTTCTTCTGCGACTGAGTCACTCCTTATCATCACTCTCAAATTTCTGTTTCGATATTCTTGTGAGATTTTAACCGCGATCGACTCTCATCATCTACATATGACTCGGCCAAGAAGTCTTTCTCATTTATCAGAATCGTTCATATGTTAGGATATTTCTCCTTCTCTCATCTAGCAGAAGCCCTCATCGTTTTTTTTTTTTTTAAGAGGTGAAATTCCATGCGTACCTTTTTCCAGCGACTCAACTCCGCCGTTTTTCCGGAGACCACACACGCGGCAGCCATCTCATCAACCGCGTGTCGCGAACCTACAACAGCCCCCAGCCACGAGCCAACGTCCCTGATCCCGAACGGAAGCTCCGTCCTCCATTCTTTCCGGTGAGATCTTTCATCTCCGGTCAGCAATTCAGTTCGTCGAGGTCAACAACGTTCTCCATTCACGAGTAGCACCTTCAAGGAGTTCCGAGTGCCGTTCGAGTTCCCGTTCGTCTGACCCAGCTTTTCCGATAGCTCGAATTTCCCGAAGACGGGTAATTCTTTCTGAACCTTCTCGTAAATTGTTGTTCAGATGTGAGGTCGTTTGATTATATCGTGTTTACCTTTTTTCTCGTTGACTCGTTGAATCGTTTCTGTCGTTTTAGTTGGATTGTATATATTCGGTTTGTTTTGTTCGTCGTATTGCGTTTTGGGTAATATTCGTGGAATGTTGTAATTGAGTGTAACTAATGTATGTTGTCAGAGTGTTATTAATGGATGTTGTCGGAATGTATTTAAGTGGCCTACCAATTTGTCAGATATTTAATGGACTTCATGACATATTGTCAGAAATGACATTTCCACTTATCCACCCAATTAAATGCTAAGTATGGAGGAAGTCTGCATGAAGGAGTATGCTCAATTTTGCTCCATCTTTAAATATGGGATCTCAGCAGAGGATCAAGTACACAAGAGAAAGAGAAGAATACCGCATAAAAGAAAAATAGAGAAGGGAAAAATAATAAATATTTTTATAGTGCTCAATTCTCGCTAGAGCTCGTAAATCTAGTGTGCTACAGATTTAGAGACGTTTGTCATTATATCTTTGGGGGTGTTACGCCTGAACCGTTAGCAGCCACACGGGGCGTATTCTTCTTGCGGAAAGAGTTATACTCGCCTTGGCTTTTATCTTTCAGTTTTATGTTTAATTTTTAATTTAACTTTAAGTTGTCATTTAATTTTCAGTTCGATAGTAATTTTTTATTTTCAGATTATTTGTAAGAACTGAAAAATACATATCAGTTTGTAGGATTCCCATGTATTTTGATACCCAATTTCTAACAATCGCAAGAAGAATATTGTCATCCTACTGAACTGATGGCAAACTACGGAGAAGGTTCTCAACATCAGCATTCGGTCAACCCAGTTGTTAATAATCCTGTACGAGCTGTCCATGTCCCCACGACTGAGAAGCCCAAAAAATTCAACGGGCTTGATTTCAAGAGATGGCAACAGAAGATGCGCTTTTACCAAACCACCTTGGGTAAGGAAAAGTACCTGAAGGACGATCCTGCAGTCATTGATGAAAATGAAACCAATGCTGAACTACGCAATGCGTACGATGCTTGGATGCAAGGTGATTACCTTTGTTGTAACTATGTCCTGAACGGATTTAGTGATGAGTTGTACAATGTGTACAGTTCTGTTGGTTCTGCCAAAGAGCTTTGGGCTGCTTTGGAAAAGAAGTACAAGACCGAGGATGTCAAGGGCGAAGAAATTCGTCGTCGGTAAATTTCTTGACTTTAAGATGGTCGATTCAAAGACCGTCGTGTCCCAAGTGCAAGAGCTTCAACTTATCTTGCACGATATTCATGCTGAGGGAATGTCTCTGAGCGAGTCATTCCAAGTTGCGGCTGTGATTGAGAAACTGCCACCGGGTTGGAAAGACTTCAAGAACTACCTCAAGCATAAGAGGAAGGAGATGAGTCTTGAAGACCTTGTTGTTCGTCTTCGTATTGAGGAGGACAACAGGAATTCATCTGGAAAAGCTCAGATGATGGAGGCTCGTACAAATTTGCTGGAACAAGGCAACTCGAGCAAAAGAAAGTCCATTGACAAAGGAAAGTCGCCAGGTAAGGTTTGGAAATTTACAGGTACTTGCTACAACTGTGGAAAGCCAAATCATATGGCTAAAGACTGCAAGAGGCCAAAGAAAGGTAAACCTAGTGCCCTTGTGGCTGAACACAACCATGTGCCGGGTGAACTGACCGACTTTGATATGACGGCTGTGGTGTTTGAAGCCAATTTGGTGGATAACCCAAGGGAGTGGTTCATCGATAATGGTGCCACTCGTCATGTGTGTTCCAATAAGGAGGTGTTCTCTGAATACACTTCTGCTAAGGGTCGGAAACTTCACATGGCAAACTCCTCCATGGCTGATGTGGCTGAAGTGGACACTGTGGTGCTGAAGCTGACTTCTGGAAAGGAGTTGAAGCTTAAGGATGTTCTGCATGTCTCAGACATCCACAACAATTTGGTCTCTGGATCTCTTCTTGTTGAGCATGGATATAGGCTTGTGTTTGACGCTAAGAAGTTTGTTCTTAGCAAGTTTGGAACATTCCTTGGTCGTGGATATATCGACAAGGGTTTGTTCAAAATGAATGTAATGGTTGTGAGCCGTGTAACCGTTGCTAATGAGAATGAAAAGCCTATTTCTGTTTATACAGTTGAGTGCTGTGATTTATGGCATGTTAGATTGGGACATGCAAATCTAAATGCAATTAAACGGTTGATGAATTTAGAATTAATTCCTAATTCTAAAATTGAATCACATAAGAAATGTGAAATATGTGTTGAAGCAAAAATGGCTAAGTTTCCTTTTCACTCGGTGGAAAGGAGTACTGTACCATTACGTTTAATCCATACTGATGTATGTGATATGAAAAGTGTGCAAACAAGAACCGGTAAAAAGTATTTTGTAACTTTTATCGATGATTGCACAAGGTTTTGCTACTTATATTTGTTAAGAAGCAAAGACGAGGTTGTGGAAGCTTTTAAAATCTATAAGACCAAAGTTGAAAATCAACTCGGCAAGAGGATTAAAATAATCCGAAGTGATAGGGGTGGGGAGTATGTAGCTCCTTTTGAACAAATATGTTATGAATATGGCATAATTCATCAAATGACGGCCCCTTATTCTCCACAGTCGAACGGTGTTGCTGAACGCAAGAACCGTACGTTAAAAGAAATGATGAATGCCATGTTGATAAATTCAGGATTACCCCAAAACATGTGGGGGGAAGCTGTTTTAACAGCAAATCATATCCTGAATAAAATACCACCTAAAGGGAAAGATGAGACTCCTTACGAATTGTGAAAAAATCGTAAGCCGTCTTATAAATACCTGAAAGTGTAGGGGTGTTTGGCTAAGGTTTCAATACCTGAACCAAAACAAATGCGAATCGGGCCAAAGACGGTCGATTGTGTATTTATTGGATATGTGTACAATAGTATGGCATATAGATTTCTGGTTCATAAATCAGAAAATCCAGAGGTATCTGTTGGTACCACGATTGAGTCAAGGAATGCCATATTCTTTGAAAATGTTTTTCCTATGAAGAAAAGGGCAAAATCTAGTTCTAATAAACGAACGTATGATACTGCTAGTGGTTCTGTACCAGAGGGTACTGATGAAGAACCGAGACGTAGTAAAAGGGTAAAAACAGCGAAAACGTTTGGACCTCGTTTTATTATGTACATGTTGGACGATGAATCGAGTTCCATTAAGGAAGCTCTGTCCAGCCCAGAAGGACCACTCTGGGAAGAAGCTGTAAATAGCGAAATCAAGTTCATTATGCAGAACCATACTTGGGAGTTGGTTGATCTCCCTGATGGTTGTAAATCTTTAGGATGCAAGTGGATCCTAAAGAGGAAATATAAAGCTGATGGATTGATTGATAAGTTTAAAGCAAGATTGGTGGTCAAAGGCTTTAAACAAAAAGAAGGATATGATTTCTTTGATACCTATTCACCAATTACGCGTTTAGCATCGATAAGAGTGCTTCTCTCGATTGCTGCATTGCACAATCTTGAGATTCACCAAATGGATGTCAAGACGGCATTTTTTAATGGTGAATTGGAAGAAGAAATATACATGGAACAACCTGAAGGTTTTGTTGCACCTGGACAAGAGAGAAAGGTGTGTAGATTGATCAAATCATTGTATGGACTGAAACAAGCTCCGAAACAATGGAATTTGAAATTTGATGACGTGATGTTGTCAAATGGTTTCAAAATCAATGAATGTGACAAATGTGTTTATGTCAAGAGTACATCAAATACATTTGTGATTGTATGTCTATATGTAGACGATATGTTGATCATGGGGAGTAGCCATGAAGTGATCATGGATACGAAAAGAATGTTGAAAAGAAATTTCGACATGAAAGATATGGGTTTGACTGATGTTATTCTTGGAATAAGAATTATCAGAACCCATGATGGAATTGCCTTGCCACAAAGTGCTCAAGAAATTTGATGCCTATGACGGTGCACAGTCTAGGCATATGTTAAGACACCCCTTGATCTTAGTATAAATCTGGTAGCCAATAAAGGTCAACCAGTGGCTCAGTTAGAATATTCACGGACAATAGGGAGTCTGATGTACTTGACGAATTGTACACGACCAGACTTGGCCTACCCGGTGAATAAGTTGAGCAGATTTACGAGCAATCCCAATCATGAGCACTGGAATGCTTTGAAAAGGGTACTTAAGTACTTGAGGTACACCCTTAAATACGGGCTAAAATACTCGAGATATCCAGCTGTACTTGAAGGGTACTGTGATGCAAGCTGGATATCAGAATCGAGGGATTCTCACTCCATTAAAGGATATGTTTTCTGCATTGGAGGAGGTGCAGTTTGGTGGAAATCCACAAAACAAACTTGTATAGCTCGTTCAACAATGAAATCGGAGTTCATCGCTTTAGATAAAGCTGGTGAAGAAGCCGAGTGGCTTAGTAATTTTTTATCCTATATTCCATGTTGGAATAAGACTTTGTCGCCTGTGATGATTCACTGTGATAGCCAAGCTGCTATAGGTAAGGCGCAAAGCAATTTGTATAACGGTAAGTCGAGATATATTCGTCGTAGACATAATACCGTACGCCAATTGATACACAAATGGTGTTATTTCCATTGACTATGTGAAGTCTAAGGAAAATTTGGCAGATCTTTTGACGAAAGGATTGAATAGAGATCAATTGTGAGTTTTGCTAGAGGGAGTGGGCTTAAAAATCCACAATGTAAAG